CGCTGTTTGAGTTGACTTTGGTTGACCAAAGTGGGAAAGGGAAGCATAAAGTTCATAGTCACTTTGATCGGGCGTTGGAGAGCGGACCTTATACGTTGAAGTATCGAGGAAGCATGTGGTAATTTGTTCTTTTGTAATTGATTTGTGTGAATTTGTTGTTTGGATAATTTTGTGAATGTTATATTTTACTTTTCCCATGTTTCTGATGTTTGTTCTTAATTAGAAATGGGTTTTAGTTTGGGTAATTTGGTGAACTGAGTTTATTTGTTTTTATAATTTTTGTGACCGTTCTTTTAATATGTTGTTTATTTATTTTTATTCTTTTCTTTTGGTATGTTACTTTGTTGATTTGTAACTAGAAATGGGGCTTTAGTTTGAGGAGTGTATTTGCGTGGAGAATTTTGGTGATTCAAATTGTGGTTCTAGAGTTTATGTGATTACTTATTGTAACATTTTTTATTTTTTATTTTTTTTGTAATTACTTTTTTCTAAAACTACATGGTGGGCAGATGTTTAATTGCTGAAAAAGGATTAGGTTTTTAAACAGCTTACAGATAATGTAGTCTTGGTTAGGGCACAAAGTGGAGGAAAAGAAGAGTCTTTGTGCCTTAGACAAGTAGTTTGGGATTGGGACTTGGTATGAATGAGTTGATTTGTGTACGTTGATGTTCTTGATCATGGTTAGAAAAGGGGATTTGGAGACTTTTGTTTGAGTGATGTATATTATAGCTGTTTGTGGGATTAGTATTTAAAAGTTTCCAGTAGCTAATGTGAATGGAAGATTCTATCAATTGATTCTTATTACACCAGAGGCAATTTGATTTGCATGGTGCAATTTTTTTTTTGGTCTTGTGTGGTGTAACCTTTAATAGGGTATGATTTATCAAAGTTTGGTTGCTTCAATGGCTCCATTTTGTTTATTGCAATTGTGTGTTAGTTGAGAAAGCTTGTTGATGACATGTAGTTGGATTCTTTGTCATTAAGTTCAAAACTTCTGCCTGCTCACTGAATGTCTGTGTAGATGTCATATTTAGCTATCAAGTAGTACTTTGATGATTCTCTTCATTTAACTTTCTTGAATATGTTTCAGGGGGTACAAGCGTTTCTTTAGAAGAACTGTTTTAGAGACTTCTGATTACATAAAGGATGATTGCCTTATCATGAACTGCACTGTTGGAGTTGTTAGAAATCGCCTCGAGGGACCAAAACAGTATTCCATACCTGTACCACCATCAGATATGGGTCAGGGTCTTAAGGATTTGCTAGAATCTGAAATTGGCTGCGACATAACTTTTCAGGTTGGGGATGAAGCATTTAAAGCTCATAAGTTGATACTTGCTGCTCGCTCTCCTGTTTTTAGGGCTCAATTTTATGGTCTTGTGGGAGATCGCAACTTGGATGAAATCACTGTAAAGGATTTTGACCCATCAATTTTCAAGGTAATGCTCTTTATAGTTTTTACATAATTCCATCTCCACGTGAGAAAAAACAAAGTGAAAAAAACAAGCATGTTTGTTTGTGGCCAAAGAAAACCTTTGTTTCCTGGGGTGTTTTGAGTATAGACGATTTCTTCTTATAATATGGTCTAATGACTCATTGTACAATATCTTCATATTCTTTTATGAACTACCATCATTGTCTTCAATCAATGATGCAATGTCTTGTTGAATATGGACAACAAACATGAAGAATACTGGGAACCTCAGGCAGAGTGACTGTTTGTTTCTCTTTTACCGAAATCTGATCTCAGTACTTAAGGTTCCTAATGAAGACTGAAGAAAGAAAAACTCAAAGGAAAAATATGTTCCATGTGAAGGGAAATTGCAGATAGAAGGGATAGGAGTTTGAAAAAGGATTAAGATTTGAGTCATATCAGTTTTGAAGTTTGAACTCTTTTTATACCTCTTTCCAATGTGTGTTTCTTCTGTTCTAACTTGAGTATGATTTCAAATTTCTAAACATGAGAAAATATTTTAAAAATCATCCGACTTAAAGTGAGAGGAACAATTTCTATGTTTTTAACTCTACTTTTTTTCTTGAAACAGGTTTATTATTTTAATTTTCTAATCTTTGTTTCTCTGGTAAGTCATATACGTTTTTACTGTGACTGCTTGAGAATGCTGCTTTTATAAACGGGGAATGTTATGTAGGTTGCATAAGTTTAGCCTCTTTCTCTTCTTTCTTGTTGCTTTATTGCTTTGGAAACATGCATAGTCTATAAGTTGGCTTTTTAGCTATATCATTAAGAGTGAAGTTTCATTAATAGTGAGGTTCTACTAATATGAACAACTAAGTAATTATCTACACAGTTGTCATTATGTTACGAACAAGCATATTAAATGTGCCTTTCATCTGTTATTCTAGGCAATGCTTCTGTTCATTTACACAGACAAACTTCCCGACGTATATGAAATTACCGGCTCAACATCTATGTGCACATCCACCAACATGGTACAGCATCTGTTGGCTGCAGCTGACCTTTATAATCTAGATCGATTGAAACTGTTATGTGAATCAAAATTGTGTGAGGAACTCAATGCTGACACAGTGGCGACAACACTTGCTTTAGCTGAGCAACACCATTGTCCACAGCTTAAGGCTATCTGCTTGAAATATGCTGCAACTCCGGCAAACTTGGGAGGTGCGTGTTGTTCGTAGATACTGACCGGTGCAAATTTCAGGTTATGTCAATTTTAGTTATTGGTTTTCAATCTGTGGAAGTATGCTCGATGCTTTCTCATGCATACTTAATTGATCAGAGTTATTCGGAAGTTCCGTACATGCTTGATTCACCAGATTTACTCAGAAATTCTTTGCATGCTTAATTTATCAGACCTTATCAGAAAATCTAAGTATTCATTTAATTTGTCTCTAAAACATTAATGGATATGAGTTTCCAAATATGTCTCATCAAGTCCAATTAGAGAAGCAAATTGCAATAACTTCTAACTCGAGCAACCTCTTTCTGTCTCCCTTTATCAAGATGTCCTCTCCATCTTTTGCTCTCTTCTAGAAATAGTCTGTGACTATTATAAAAAGCTGAAGGTAGAAGGCCAGGCATTAAAGCTGTCTAGATCTTATCATTCTCTGGATAAATGTCACATGTCGTAACAATTGGCCGGCTTAAATTATGTTAATAACTCATATATAGGTTTGATTTTTGAAAATAAAAACAGTGGTGCAACCTTAAAGATGTCTAGAATCTTATAATTTTCTGTAAAAATGTCATAATAACTGTCCAACTCAAGTGATGCTAATAATTAACTCATATATAGGTTTTTAAAAAGAAAATCAAAATTTTAAAGCCGTCTATAAACTTACCAATATCTTCAAAATGTCATAACAATCACTGACACTGTCCCATTTATCATGTCAATATGTGCACCAAGAGAATGGCAGTCTGCTCTGAACCAACAGTTTATCTTGTGTGATTTTGATTATGGACTCTGGAAATACCACTCAGTCTTCAGTTGGATTCAGCTTGCATCAAAATTTTGGCAGTTTTATAGTTTTAACTATTAGATATTGATACTTCATAATTTCTGTATTTAGAGGTTATATTTACATCGTTATTAAATGTAGTCCCTTTTTATCTCAAGTACATATACTTGTGTACTCCGAATGACTGCTTCCCAGGCATTCCTATGGATAGCAATTGAAATTTATAACTGAGCTTAGATATTCTAGTGTTTCCCCCTTCTGCTATATGCACGGGTGCTATTGTTATTGTTTTAAGGAACTAATGTCTTTTCCGGGTGTCTTGTAGTTGTAATGCAGTCAGAAGGATTTAAGCACTTGGAGGAGAGCTGCCCATCATTGTTGTCCGAGCTCCTAAAGACATTGGCTTCAGGTGATGAGAATTCAAGCATGGTGTCAGGTAGAAAACGCAGTAGCAGCAGTATATATGGGCTAGATCTACCGGCAGATGGTGCAGCTGCAGAATCAGCAAATCCGAATGGCAGGAGAATACGAAGGCGGTTTTAGGACTCACAGTGGCTTTTAAATGCCAGAAACCCGGGGGTAAGTGGATGGACATGATAACAGAAATGAAGTTTATCTTCTTGCATGTTAATATTAGAAACTAGTCCCTGTAACCGTGCCTTTACATAAAGCAGTTATGTTTTCCTTAGGGGGATATTTCAACTCATCGCCTTCATCGTTTTATCGATGAGCAATTTCTCCTCTCTGACTCTCCATTGTCAATTTTATTGCGGACATCTTTGTACATGTGAAAAACTCATATTTTCATAGTACCTGACAATGGAATGCACCCAAGGGAAATGAATAGTGGTGATCACTTTTGTTAGTTTATCTTGTCTTTCTTTCGTTTATGCGGATAAAATTATTTGCCATGTGTTTGGTTTATCGATAAGTTTATTTTCCTCTTTTGGGAAGAAAGAACAGTTCTCGTGTCCAAGACCCTCATTTTGTGCTATTGTAAAATTCATGTATCACTAATTCGCCAGCTTCTCGAGCTGTTCCATTGAAACTTTCACTTCTATTGAGACACAGATCGGGGGACAGAGCTGTCTTAATTAGCGGTCTGATTATAGGTTCATGGTTAGTAGAGAAAATAAGGATGATTTTTCGGTTCAATAATGTCAAGTGCACAACCTTTTCTCATAATCTCCACAATCTTATAGCCCCAAACCTTTTCTCATAATCTACAACGTAATAACTCATTATTAATTAGCTTACAAATGTAACACTTATTTAGTGAGTTAACCAATCTACAACGTCATAACTCATTATTAGTTAGCTTACAAATGTAACACTTATTTTGTGAATTAACGAATGACAAGTTAAATTATAAGAATGACAAGTTAAATTATAAGATTGAATTGTAAACCTAACATTACTTTTCTTCAGTCCTGTCATAACAATCCAGTTTGTATCTCAGAATTGGCATGGTTTTCCCAAGGGGTCAAAACATGACTTGCTTTAAGTTCCCTTTAAAAATAAAAATAAAAATAAAAATAAAACATCTGAAATTCAAATGATAAAAGAAAAAGTCACAAAGGCAACCCTCCATTAAGCTGAATCCAGATACACACCCAGAACATTACAATAATTAAGCTTTCTCAAGGCTTACGATTACATTGGATGGTTCAAACAGTAAAACATAGAAATATACACAATGGATCTAGATTATGTTGTACATCTTGAATACTCCATTCTAGCATTTCCTAGCACTTGTTAATAGGCCTAAGCATGGTTAAAATCTCACCACGAAAGAATGAGAGAAAGCACATACAAGCTGTTGTATTTCATATACATATAATCAATGTACCAATAAAAACTGCTAACCTAACAAAACTGTTGTCAAGGCCTTGAGGAAGCTTATATGCTCAAGTGGGTGACTCGGCCAGAAGTAGGGTATGCCACCAGCCACATGCAACATTTTTTGGAACGCAAACCTCGATTGGAACTTGAGAAGGAATGTTACGGTCAATCACATCGCCAAAGCCAAGCTGTTTCATGAACCCAGAGTATCATAATTTTAGTTATATGAGTCAATACGAGGCATCTGGACACCACATAAAGAAACAGAATGATGCGAAGTCAAAATTAAAACTTCATCAATTAAGGCGGTAGAATCAGAGCAAGTGCTCTAAAAATACCATGGAGATCCCATGTTGTTCTTTGTAAGACAGAGAAAAGAAAATTTTCAGTGTCATATGGTGTCCATCCGCCTCAAATTGGAAAACCCATCAGTGTGAGTATGATACCTGCCCATACTTGTTCCAACCCCAGCAGAACACTTTTCCATCCTCTTCAAGAAATAAAAAGAAAAAGAGAGTCAATGGCTGTACTAGCAAGAATCTATTTATTCAGAAGTCATATGAAACCAAAATTCTAATATTATCTAGACACCAAATTCATATGCATGTGAATTTTAGCATCTAAACTGCCATTAGGGCGAGAAGCAATTTCAGTGAAAAACAACTGCTGAAACCAAAAACAGGCATATGTACCAACCATTAGAAGTTAGAACACTATCATCCCACCAACTAAAGTAATACTGTAACACCCATTAATGCAACGAACATTTTTTAGCCTTCCCCTCACCTAACCGGTTATAGTTTTAAACAACTTTTCTCATCTGCCTTCACATGGGAAAACAATCTAGTCCATTTTACGCACTGAAGTTCCTGATTGATAAGTAACATTCTCATTTCTCCATGACTAAATGATGGACCAGAATTACTTTTTATGGTTGTCCCATTATAATTGATTCACTGTTTCAAGTTGCTAGCAATTATTCATTGAACTAGGTTATTGACTTTGATACTCATTCTAGTCAGTGTCACTGTGCACCGCTAGAAGATAGGTCATTATATTGACATAAACTTGATATAGGTATGGCTCTACAGTTTATCAGGAAAGCAAATATGGAGATTTTTACAAATGCTTTGTCAACATACCAGTTATCACAGCACTGTGACGAGCCCCACAAGAGACGATTTTTGCATGTACATTTTCCAGACTTGGAGCATCCAACAGCCTGGGAAGAGTCTGATTTAGAAATTCAACAAACACTGAAGTTAATTGCACAAATTTTCCTGCAGTAAATACTTTTCACAATACAATAAAGTTATCAGGGAGCCTAGGGAGATCGATGATTATGGTTTGAATATCGTGCAGTAAAAGATAAATAAAGATGCTTCAGTAATTTTAGCCATCAAATTCCAATGCTCTAAGTGATATTAAATCTGTGTATCTTGATAGTACCAACAAAACTTATTGACTTGTGATAGGTAGATCAAATTCTCATTGACCTAATCATATTTGGGTGAAAAAAAGGGAATCAATGGAATGGATAAGAAAAGAAAAATTGCGTACTTCTGCTTGATCACCACCAGTTCCCAACTGGCCAAACTGATTTCCACCAAATACGTATACATCTCCATCGCCGGAAATGCAAACAGTGTGCCATAGTCCAGCTGCAACTCCCTCAATCTGTATGCCCAATAGTGAAGATACACAAACTGGGCTTAACTCATCATCCGTGCTTCCTTGCCCACACTTGATAAAAAATATACATATAAAGATGAGAATTCTTTTACTCATAATATCAATATCAACAACAAAGTTTATTATAAGAGAATAAAAGAGAGAGAACAGTGGAAAAGGAATAGAGTAAATTATCCTTTGTTAGAGTGAACTTCATCTTGAACATCTACTTTGCTTTTTTCTCCACCATATTCTACTTTACCTACATGTGGATCCTGAAGAACAGTTAATAGTTGGGAAAGTACAGGCAGTCTCATGGATGAAAACAATGCTTAAAATGTTATCTATTTCATGTAGTATAACATGGGTTGAATGTAACACATTTTTTTACTTAAAAACTTTATAAACCTGAATTTGATAATCAAGAATTCTTAAGTGCACAAACACGAAATTAGGATCAGACTAATAAGTAGAGAAACTGTGCTTCAAAAGCTAAAGTAATATTCTCAGTTGCTAAGGAATAGACCAGATACAAGTAATTCGTGATCTCAGAAGGAAAACTAGTAGCCAAAACCATCTAAAAATACCTTCAGTAAGCCTTAAGATACAACATAAGAACAAGAATTTACTAAGTTTTCCATGCTAGAAATGGAGTTTTAAGAACAATTCTTAGTAAGATATCTACACGGAATAATTAACTTCTATTCAGACTCCAAAATCCATAGATATATTTATGAAATGATTAGAACCTGAACGATGAAGAACAGAATAATAAATATCTTCAAACAGGTTATCAAGGTAAAAAAGGAGGCAATGATAACTACCAACCGTCTTTAGTGTCAAGTTCAAAATTATTATGACAAGGAAATTAAAAATAAAAATAGAAATAGAAAACCACAGGTGTTTCAGTCTATCAGTGAAAGCATTAAGGAGAGCCTCCTCGACCTCTTCTAGTTTTTCAATACCTCCTAAGCCAAGAATCACTCCCCCATACATCTTTTCTTAATATTATTATTGCAACCTTGCCAAAAGACTAAATGAAAACAAAGAAGAAAATTGACTTTGGTTTGCCTTTTGTTCCATTAATGTTAACAGAACATTGTGACATAAAAGCTATATATTTTTCATTATTTCAGCTACCATATTATCATAAAAGAGAAAAGTAAAAGAAATTTGGCATCAACAACGAGATCAGACTGCATCTCCATCATGCAAAGGTCCATCCATGATGACTAGGCAAAAATTCTGAACTTGAAAAGAAAAATACTGAAATTATTTACAGAAAGGAGAAAAGGAGAAAAATAAGCACACAAAGTTACCAAGCCATCACAACTTACCTGTCCATAGAGTCCCCAACCAAAAGTAAGCAGTGCTCCAGCATCTCAAATGGCCAAAAATTATTTATGGAAATAACCATATCAGTACATCTAGAAGTGAAGCATATGAAGTGGATAGATAAAAAAAACCACACACATTTAGTCTATTTCATTTTGAAATAATCCTAAATTAAATGTGCTTAACTTTAAAGTTAAAATTAATATTTTGTTCAGCAAAAATGCCCAGGTTTTAACATCTAAAGCTGCAAATCTAACTGTGATCAATATAATCCTCACTGAATTAACTTAGCTTATGTTTCAAAAGGTTGAATGTATAACCTGCAGTGTAACCAGTTACATCAGACACATACCTGTGATTACTGCACTATGTCGCCCTCCACAAGCAATTGCCTTCACATAATTTCCAGGAACTCTAAAACCTGGTCCCTCAGAACACATGCTTCCCCGAGAAAAGGCAGCAGATCTATCTTTCATGTAAGAGGAGGACTCAATGCACGGTATAGGATGAGGAGAGGAGACCATACGTATCCGGGAACCCAAACCAAGCTGCCCCTCACCTCCATAGCCCCAACCCCACACCTGTCCTATATCTGAAACTTCGAAAAATTAAAATACATCAAGTATCTTGCTTTAACAAAGAAAAGACCTCTCAGTTGCTTTAGATGTCACTGCGTATCAAATTCTATTTCATGGCCACAGTGTAGAAGCAACTACTCACCAATCAGGCACAGCATTAATCCATGATATAGAGGAGTTACCTGACAATGCTAGAGTATGTCGTCCACCAGCAGCTACAGTGGCAATCCTGACTCCTGGGTTCAGCGTTACTAGACATGGAAAAGCTGAAAGATTTTCATCACCAGATGATGAGCTTTCAGCAGTGTGTTTTGCTGATGATATTCTCCTCCGTTTGGAAGCTTCCTCTCCACTTCCCCTACTATCAGTACCAGACAAGGTTCCACCACTGGATTTTGAACCTTGAGAGTGCGGACTCACTTGAGCAAAATAATACTTCATCAAATTAGTCTATAATAAGTAAAAGTAATCTATCTAGCCCATTCTCTTAGCAAAATTGCAAAATTCAATTAACCTTGCTCTGTCAAAAATGAACTTTGTCTTTCAAATGCCTCTTTCTCCAAACTTGTCCCTGTAGATGGATCTCCAAAGACCTTTCCTGAAGGAACACACTCTTTCCATCCCCATGTAAATACCTCTCCATTCTCTGTAAATATACAAATAAAACGTCACTTAATCTATGTGTCTAGACAGAGTATTTAAACCAAAACAAGAGAGATGGATAAATCAAGTTAGCCAAAAAGTCAAATCACATTTCATCTATGTTCTCCATTAAATAAACAGCAAAATTTATAATACCTGTGACTGAAGCACAATGTGCCCAACCTGCAGCAGCTTTTACTATAGAAGCTTCAGTTGGAAGTGGGAAAGGCTCCGGGGTTTCCTTAACAAGCAACAATAAAATCTAAGTTAGGCCAACAAGAAATGGTTGAAATCTTAATTAACTTATAGTATTATATGGTGCTGCACTACCCCATGCTTGCCGGATGTCAGATAGCTTTGACCTAGATCATCTGTTGAACCCCATGTAATGAGCTTTCCAGAGTCTGATTGAAAGAGAAACATAAGTATGAAGCACTACTATTTCCCAGACCAAGTGCAGAAATAAGACAAATTTACCCCTTTCGAAGTGCAAAAATGGAAACTACCCTTCTGAGTGAGTTCAAAATTTTATAAACATCTCAACACTTATATTCAGAGAAATGCAGTAAATTGAACTAAAGGCACCATAGAGAAAACAATGCAGCATCATCCAACAATTGGAAAAATAAAATGAGTAAGCCTAAAAACTGAAACTGAAATCTATCTGGAAACCCCACAAATATAAAAAAATAAATAAATAAATAAAAACCAATATCAACTCTTACAAAAATTAATTTTAACCACAACTGTTTGGTCACCCAGAAAACGCAAGAAAACAAACGAAAATTAACATAAGTATCATAAACTCTTCATTTTTCGAACCCGGTGAAACAAAACACAATTTTCCATTATTATGGACCCAATAACACAAAACCCCCCACTCAATTGACAAAAAATCACATTTCAGCTCAGATAATTTCAGTTTCCATCAAAACAGGCAAAACACGCGGACAAACACTCATTTTCTCCCCATTGCCACATTTTCTGAGCAACCAATCAGTGACAAATGCTTAAGAAAAAAACTTCACCAGCATTAAAAGTAACGCCATTTCCAAATCCAACGAAAGAAAACACATCTTTTTAAAACAAATAATCAATCGATCAAAATTTTAAAAATCAAACAATTTTCAAAGAAACAAAAAAGCACCAGAAATGGCCATGGCAAATCCGCAACCACCACCGCAGACGTCCTTCCACGCGGACCCCACCGTCGCCGGTAACCTCACAACCACCGGCGACAAAATCGGCGACCTTTGAGGCAACGCTCCCGGCAAGTACCCCCACATAAAGACCAGTTTCTCCGTGTCCTTCTCCTCCACCTCCATTCTCTCGGCTCTCTCTTGTTCTCCCTCCCCACTCATTTCGAGAAACAAAAACAAAAACAAAAAAAGGGAAACAAATAAAATATTTTTAGTACTTTAATAAATTAATTATAAGTGTTTTCGCTTGGTTTTGTTTTGTTTTTGCTTTCTGTGTTCTGAGTTTGGTAGACTTGGGACTCTCGCGCAAAGTGGCTACTAATGTTCGGGGCGTATCTTTTCAGGACAATGGGGGGTGCCACATAGGATGCTGATGTGGGTGGTTAGGACACGTGTCGTGATACTGGCCGGTAGATGTCTCGGTGAATGCTAGCCACGAGTTCAAGGAACTTTCTGGAAGGTCAGTATTTGCGTGAACTCGTGGTTGCTGCATTTGATGACACGTGTTGGCCTCTTGGGCTAGGTCAATCATTATAGTTGCCACGTGTCGAAACCAAGGTAGGGAATTTGTGAAAGGGACGTGCCAAGTCAGGTGTGGGGCCATGCTGGTTCAATCATGGCGTTGATATTAATTTTTTCGAATATCTTAATAGGTAGCACGTGCCTCACACGGCAAGTCTGGAGTGTTGGGCTGGAAAGCGTATGGGATTTTTATTTTTTACTAATATTAAGATTAAATTTTTCTACACCTTAAAAGCTTTTTAATTTCTTCATTTTCTTATTTGCTTTTCAAGAAATGGATACTGTATATTGAACACAGAATTTTTTCTTTTATAATCGATGCGTGTTTCAATTAAACACTTTAACTAATTTTCATAATTTATTGAATTCTTTACAAACTTAAAAAAATAGATAAATCACGATGTTATTATAATTTGTGGCATAATTTATTGTTATCTCACGAAAAATGAAAAACAAAATGATATACTAAATGTTTATAGAGATTTTTAAGGTTTTGAATATGTTTGCGGGAAGTATCCATTTACAAGGTTAAAATATTGAATATGTTATACTCTAATAAACCTTATCAAAATGAGCCTTAATAATCTTAAACAATGAATCTAAGAGTTTTTAATAATAATTTTACACATCTTTTCTATATTATTAGTCACTATAAAATAAGAGTAAACAACTTTTTCCTAACCCAAATAATGGCTTAATATCATTTTCTCATCCACAGATTTTTAAAATACCATTTTACTATCCAAGTTTATATTATGTTTTCAATTCTGACGTCGTTGTGACCTCACACCACCACCATTCTCTTTTCCGATCATCACCCATCACAACTCTCAAACCTTACTCTCGTTGACCTCATCAATCATCGGCAATTGAGCGATTAGGGTTTGCACAATCACCCCTCCTAAGTCAAATTTCAATAAATCATAACTATCAAAATCTAATCTTCTATCACTAAAAGACTCATCGACCTTCTCTATTCAAAAGCTCCTTGAACTGAATTTATTCTTTGTTCACTGCTAAAATATAAATTTAGATAATAAAATAGTATTTTAAAACAAAAGTGGTTAACTCCTATAAATAAATAAATAGAGAAAATTAGCATATTGGACTCTAAAAACTGCCTCCTGACAGTAATGGCCCACAAGCCCATCTGAGTAACCGAAATGTCCATACACACTTCAATGGTCAATGCCTGAAATTGAGTCAAGAAAAATTGGGTCAAATAAGCAATTCCCAAAACAGTAATGCTACGAAGACCAACGTTTTGCACCGTAATATTAAATTGAACGACGTCTCACCTAAGTTAAACGAGCCATGTAACATGTTAAAAAATATTTTACGAATGAATGGTTGATGGAGGACCGTCTATTTTTATTGGACGATCATTCATTTAAAATAAACTCCTGTCCATGCGAAAATGAAAATGAATGCATGTCTATATATTATGGACTGGCGTCTCTACTTAATGGATGAACACCCTATTAATTAGAGATAATCCATATTTTATGGACGGCCGTGCATTACAAATGGACGAATTCTTAATCTTTCCTTACTGCTTCACAATTTTTTATTTACTCTTAAAGAAGTGTAGTTTGGATAATATGTTTAACTATGGTTCAACCCTTATCATCCACCATTTTTGAAAGTTGTCAAGCATGTCAGGAAGACTATATTAGATTGAATTAAGTAACAACATACATGCACTTTTCTCATCTCAGGGTCTGTAGCCCCTACGACCTTCACTAACTACTTTCCTCCTCTTGAAGGTGTTTACGGCAGATTTGTCTTTGGCGCCGAAGCTATATCATCAGTGGGTGGTTTTCTGATTTTTAGAGATGAGTTATCCTTGTCATGTTTTTGTTCTTTTCCGTAGGGATACATAAGAAAGGTAATATAGAAAATTCTTTTGGAACGGAACTTTTGAAGGAATAATACGGAAATGGACGGGTGTCCATCTAAGAGAGGACGCCTGTCCATTACTTTTGTTTTTAATTTTTTTTTTATTTAAACAATGGACGGGTATTCATCTAATAGGGACGCCCATTCATTGAATATGGATGCATGTCCATAATATATGGATGGACGTCATGATTTTTGTTTTAATTTTTTTTATTTTAAACAATGAACGAACGTCTTTGTCTATAGTAAATGGACGAGAGTCCATTTAAAATGAACAATCGTCCAATAATTACGAACGTCCGTCCATATTTGATAGACGATCGTTCATTCACGAAATATCTGTTAATATGCTACATGACTGCGTTTACTCAATTAACATGTTATTCGATGCAAAATTTCAGTACAGGTCTATGGTATCCCTAGCATTATTGTTCCCAAAAAGAAACTCGAAGTGTGCTTGAAGGCAAGCCACTCATTTTTTAAGTGCTGTATGGGGTACGGATCCGCAAAGCCACTCGTTAGGCCTATGCCTATGCCTTCAAAGAAACCCTCACATTTGGGCCCATAAACCTTAAAACATACTCAATTCAGTGTACCAGAGCAGGGCCCAGTAATAATATTAGGTCTCTTCATTTAATCATAATATGGGGTCACTTGATCATGATAAGCGAATTGAATGGTGATGAGGCCACTGTCGACGATTGATCGTATGAAAAACGGGGCCTTGGTTTAGTGGTTAATCGCAAAGTGGGTACTGTTTTGGATTAGAGATCATGTGGGTCATAGATGATCGAGTGGTGTGTGGATCTCTGTAGCAAGAGATCATGTGGTGAAGAAAGTAGGCCCAATATGATTAAATCTAAATACGGGAAGATTATAATGTACAATACTAAATTATACAATATTGATTCATTTTGAGACTTCTATATGATTAGTTTCTTTATGTTATTTTCGGATATGGAATAATGGGGGGCATGCGAAAGTAACAAGTTATGCAATAAATGAGAAGGTACACCAACCAATCTTTGTGACACTTCCATTGATTTGATTATGAATGAGGTCACAAATGTACGAGTCACTGCTGCAAGAAAGCAATATTACGCAACAGCGAAAGCATTCACTTTCCTTGAGTGTACGTGAGACTAGCTGGGAAATTTAAAGTAAGGACACCAGCGGTCCATCGAAAAGGACTTATCGGGACATGGCCGAGAGTGGAAGAGTTTTACGGCTCCTTTCTGAATTGGAATTTGTGCCGACATGGTGAATTTTATGGGTTTAAAAGAGTACTCGCTTGTTTGTTAATGGGGTGTTTGGTTAGAGGTAATGAAAGATTACTGGAGTTATGTTATCTTATATTATTTGATTATCATGTTTGGTTGTCAAGTAATATAAGATTCTGGTAATCTTGTATTACCGATAGTTATTACTGTTGGCAATATTGAAGGTAATATGATTTGTGATAAAAGCTGTTGTTATGGTATTTCAAAATACCAAAATTTAATTGCTTTTGGACTGTTATGTGTTAAAAGCAATTGAAATTTTAATTGCTTTTGGACTGTTATGTGTTAAAAGCAATTGAAATTTTAATTGCTTTTGGACTGTTATGTGTTAAAAGCAATTGAATATTGCTTTTTGGACTGTTATGTATTAAAAGCAATTGAATTGTTCCAAGTTATTGCAATTCAAATTATTCTTGGGCAATTATGGTTTTAAAAGCAATTGATTGACTTCGGTTACAGCTAGACCTGGCAAAATGGGTTTAGACCCGCGGGTTGGCCCGTACCCGGGTAAAAAACACAAGGTATGGGTCTAAAATATTATACCCAATTTTTTTGGACCCGTACCCGGCCCGACCCGTACAACTGACGGGTTATACGGGTGAACCCGCGGGCACCCGTTTTTCAAAGGAATCCCTAATTTTACTTTTTATCACGCGCATCTCTCATCTTTCACTCTCAGTCTCAGTTACTCTATGGCGGCCGCATCTCATCTCTCAACTCTCAGCAACTCAAGTATCCTTGTCGGCTCATCTCCTCTCTCTGACGCTGGTAAACAATTCGAGTGCTGCAAGGAATTAGCAGAAGCAGTGGGTGAAGATAAATGTTATTCTGGTTCATAACTTTAATTTTGTGTATTGGGTTCTTGAATTGATAAAGCGTATGGCAGTAGAGAACGTGGCTAGGGTTATTCTTGCCAGTTCTTTTTGATTGCTTTGCAGCAGGTGCAGAGAAGATAAGAGAGAGAGTGAAGGAATCGGTTTATCCAATACGTTTTATTGAAAGCTCTCTAAAACCCCAACTTTGATTTTTCTTTCTATCTATCATCTGATTCTGATCCAATATGTACTTTGGTTTGTCTCTTTCGTGTGTCCACTTACTTTGTTAAATTGATGGGCGAAAAGAAAACACATTGATAGCCTTCACCTAGCTGTCTATCATCTTCTGCATTTGCATTTGTTTCTATCCATCATTTTGATTCTTGAGCTGATCTTCACTATCATAAAAACCGCTGCTGAGAATGGTTACTGATGTGTGAATTGAAACGCGATACATTTATGAGTATTTGGTTTAGAGTATCATTTCAATTTCTTTTCTTTTATTGATAAATATATAAAAGTTTCAATCTCTGGTATGAAATTTTGATGAAGTTCGTTCTCTCTCTCTCTCTTTGGGTCCACAATGAGTAATTGATCTGTGCAACTTCTGAAAGCGCGCATCTGTGCAACTTATGTTAGGGGTGAAACTGTCAAAACCGAAAGCTGGAGAGAGAAAAAACGGTCCACCCGCGGGTCCACCCGTACCCGTATAGGGTAGGGCACGGGTCCAAAATATTGGACCCGTATAAATCCACCCGTATAAGACCCGTACCCGTTTTACCCGGCCCGT